TTGGTCTCACAACCTTTCCGCTAACGCGCGCGCGTGTTAGCCGCGCGTTAGCGAAAAACGACTCGTTGCATTCGGATCACAGAGCTCGGGCTCGGGGAGCTGGGAAGGGAAACCGGGGTGTGACACTGAGTGCACAACCAGCACACACGGGGAGCTGGGAAGGGACACTGGGGACACAACGGGACACACCTGGTCAGATGCTATGTTAGTAGTCCTGTTGCCAAAACTTTGGTGTTGGATTGAAAATCATGACTGGCACAACTGTTTTTGGATGTCTTCCTGGGGCTCACCCTTACTGGACCCAAAAAAGCTTCAAAACCAACAATTTTATATAATAGATTGAATAAGGAAAAAAACTCCTGGTCGATGTTGCCAATCTGGCTACTTGCTGCCATGATGATTATGATGTACTATTGGAAGTTTTGGGAACCCTGGGCAAATGCTATGTTAGCAATCCTGTTGCCAAAACTCTGGTTTGGATTGAAAATCATGACTGGCACAACTGTTTTTGGATGTCTTCCTGGGGCTTACCCTTACTGGACCCACAAAAGCTTCAAAACGAACAGTTTTACATAATAGATTGAATAAGGAAAAAACTCCTGGTCGATGTTGCCAATCTGGCTACTTGCTGCCATGATGATTATGATACTATTGGAGGTTTTGGGAACCCTGGGCAAGTGCTATGTTAGTAGTCCTGTTGCCAAAACTTTGGAAATCATGACTGGCACATGTTTTTGGATGTCTTCCTGGTCACCCTTACTGGACCCAAAAAAGCTTCAAAACGAACAATATTACATAATAGATTGAATAAGGAAAACACTCCTGGTCGATGTTGCCAATCTGGCTACTTGCTGCCATGGTGATTATGATGTACTATTGGAGGTTTTGGGAACCCTGGGCAAATGCTATGTTAGTAATCCTGTTGCCAAAACTTTGGTTTGGATTGAAAATCATGACTGGCACAACTGTTTTTGGATGTCTTCCTGGGGCTCACCCTTACTGGACCCAAAAAAGCTTCAAAATCAACAATTTTAAGGAAAAAACTGCCCCGCGCACACAGACGAACGCTAACACAGCACTTCCCGCTTGAGCTTACTTGATGCTTCACACGCGCCAAGTTAGCACCAAAATGTCCATGTCACACCATGTGTTCCCAACGCCAAGTTAGTTGAATCTCAGCCCCAAAACCCAAACACTAACATAGCCAAAAAAACATTCAACAGGTAAGATTTCACGAGAGTATCTAACCTATCTTTCTTTCTTTCTATCTATCTATCTATGTATGTATGTATCTATGTATGTATCTATCTATCTATCTATCTATCTATCTATCTATTCAAGGAATTTTTCTGGTTCCTGCCCCAGGTGGTAAGGCTTATATACCTAGCGGGGGTGGCAATATATACCTGGTATATGCCTGGTATATACCCCTCAGTTTGGGTTGAGCATATACCGGCCATATATAAAGAGGTTTGCCCGTAACTACTTTTTGCTGATTTCCACAAGCTCCCTCAAGAACTCAAGAACAGGAGCACATTTTTATCCGAACCGCAAAACCGGGAAGAAATTTAAAAGAATACCAAAAAAACAACATCCTCCAAACACAAACGCCATAAAAAAAACGCTGCCTTGCCCCCACATATTGCTCCTGGTACCGGGGAGCAATATAGACCCCGGCGTATATTGTCCTGAGCAATATATACCAG